TTTTTTTTTTTTTTTTTTTTTTTTTTTTTTTTAAATTAACGATCTCATTTTTCAATCCTCTTACTGTAATTATAAAATAGCTGTTATTTGAAACAGTAATTACATTGTCCTCTTTTTTCAGCTGAAAACGTGGATCATCATATTGACTGGTTTCGTCGACAAAGATAATTTCATGACCCTTCTTCCACATAACCGCCGTATCCTGATCTGTAAAACGAAATAAATTAAAGTATCATCTGCAACACTGACCATCCGCCACACTTATTCAGCTACTCTTTAAATTATTCTAAAGATTTTTTTAAAAATATTTAAAAGCAAAATCGAACAGGTTCAAAATTATAACTGATATTAGCCAAAAAATTTTGGTTGATTCCTTGACCATAAAATGTAATCTGCTTATACATATGTTTTTAAATAATTAAAGCTCTCATATATATGCATATGTGTAATATTGGCACTTATTACTGTAACGCTGTCAAACGGATTTCCGTTCAACGGCCTTACCGAGATTTTCGACATTGCATGGAAAATCAACACTTTGACCTTCTTCCTGTTCGAACAATCGACCTTTCGATGATATTTTTGTTGCTATAACTTCAGTCAGGATACAAACCAATAGATAGCACCATCTCATAGCCAATCTAACCGTCTAAAATATACGCACGTAATTTTTTTTTTTCATCTGCTCGAAAAACTGATCAGTTATGCACAATCACAATTGAACCTTTAATTGACGAATCAATGCACAAACACGCGAACAACAAGAAACAGATAATCACAAAATACCGTTATTTTTAGAAGAAAATTAGAGCTGAATTTTTAATCAAGAGGAAAAAAAGTAGTCAAATACAACTGAACAACTTATCATTACCAACTTTTTTCCGTCTCAACAGATTAGAGATAACAAAACAGTATAAAGCAAAAAGAAATAAATTTTATGAAACAACATCAGTCAATTTAATACTGGTGCACACATTAAAAAAACCATTTGAATCATACACTATGCACGTTAATCCAGCAGTAAAACCGGTGAATACTCGATTTTGATAGTCCAAAATTGAATATTTAATATGGTTAATTAAATATTGAAAGCAATTTTTCGCAGTGACCTTACAACAACACAACAAAACAACAAAACCTCCCCACCCAAAATCACCCACA